ACTGAAATACAGGATATCTTAATTCCTTGGCAATAATCTGCAACTGAAAGGAATGGACTAATTTCTTGAAAGATGTATATCCTTTATCTAGTTGATCTTATTACTTATTTCTTGCTCATATAGGAATCATTTGGTTGGAAAATTAATACATTTGAAGCCAATCATCAGAATATTTTTGTTGGTCTTATTACTTATTCTTGCTCATCTAGGAATTGTTTGGGTGGACAATTAACTCGGATGAAGCCAATAATAATCACGGCATCTTTTCTTTTCCATTTTTTGGTCTCCAGTTTATAAAGTCATGACATCATTGAGCTAGCTGGACTTTTATTCTTAAAACTGCAATTACCAGAGTACTTCTTACTCATGCTCTATCTTGGGACTTATTTAATCTATTTCCAATACATTCAGTTGTTGCTGATCTCAGCATGCTCCCAAAGCCTTCCCCTCCACCAGGAATTGCATCAAATCTGCATCAGTCTCCCATTGATTTTTATCCTTCTGTGGGACCTTCATCAGATAGTCATTTGGGCTCTGAGAAACCACCATCCCGATCACCATCCCCTGGAATGGTACTTGGATTTTCACAGAGTACATTCACATACAAAGAACTAGCAACAGCAACGGATGATTTCTCTCAGAGAAACCTTGTTGGCCAAGGTGGTTTTGGTTATGTCCACAAAGGAGTCCTGTCAAATGGGAAAGTGGTTGCCATTAAACAGCTAAAAGCTGGTAGTTGGCAGGGTGAGCGTGAATTTCAGGCAGAAGTTGACATAATTAGTCGTGTGCACCACAGACATCTTGTTTCGCTGGTTGGATATTGCATTGCTGGATAAAGAATGCTTGTTTACGAGTTTGTTGCAAACAATACGATGGAATTCCATCTACATGGTGAGTTCTTTCCTGTGGTTAAATTTCATTATTTCCCTGATTCATGAAACAAAGTAAAAGAGAGGTAAAATGTTCAGCTAATTATAATTTTTCAGAAGGAAGTCGGTCGGAAATTTACTTTATAGCTTCTCAGAAATTATAAGTAGCAATATGCTAATGATTTTTTAGATACACAGGTCACTTGAAGGTCGTACTATAGATTTCCTCCTAGGATAGTGTCTGAATTTATTATCTCATGCATGGTCTATGTACTTCATGTACTTATGTTAATTTATATCGGTCATGTTTTCCTATTGATACCTGGAAAGAGTTATGCCAATTTGAATATATTTTTCTTTTCTGAAATATGTCAGAAAATGATTAAATTTAAGTAATAACTAATGCATCATCCATATTGTTATTTCTAGATGCATGGGTCACTTAATGGTCAATGTAGAGATGCATGCATACATGTATTAATGATTATTGATATTACCTAGGTGCATGTATGACTGAAAGGTCAAATGTACGCGCCTATCATTGATTGTCATGTATTTATTAACAGCTTCACTTGCCATAGGAAGTCCGTCTAGTACCAAAGAGCCTGTTTTGTGTCAATCAACATCTTGTGCTTGATTTTTGTTTAAACTTCATTGAATAACTAAGAATTCACCCTCATCTGCATATATAACTTGATCATATTCATCATCAGCAAGCTCTCCACTCTCCTTATAGTACTCAATCGCTTCCTCAATCAAAGAAACTGTAACGGCCCCGGAATTTTAAAATGAAATATGTGTATTAAAAAGGTCAAATGCGGAAGCGTAATAAAAATTTTGATTAACATCCCTTACACTAAAACCAAAAACGTGCTCAAAGTATAAAAGAACAAACTAACTAAAAGAAAAACTCGAAAATAAAAGTTATAAATATAATTACGGAGTCTTCAGGCGTCCCCTTCGCCGTCTTCCTGCGGAACGGGCTTGGGAACAATGTCTTTCTGATCTGAAATGATTAAATAAGGAATGAGTTACACCAGACCAGTAAAGACATCACACTATCTAACCGTCACGGAGGTAAAGGTGGGTAGAAAAACACAAAAAGACCAATGGAGCATAATTTACAACAAATTCTTTTATCAATAATAAAATCCTTTACTATCCACTTATCTCGGTGAAATTCATAAAACAACATACGAAAACAATAACATTATCATCATCATGAAATCATATGAACTGTATAACATAATACTTATCACGCCTTTTGCAATTCAATCATTACACAACATATTTTTTCTCATTTACCAGCCTACTAGTATCCATGGGGATCCATAGGGGTCCCGCTACCCGTGAACCCTTAACACTTGTAATCAGATTCCAGGGCCGTTCCCATACCCCGTCCGGCATGGGCGCCAAAATTATAAACCTTAATACCCCGTCCGGTATGAGGGTGAAACGGGCCCGTCTCCATACCCCGTCCGGTATGGGCGCCAAAACACATAAGGTCTCCATACCCTGTCCGGTATGAGAGACCACAATCCCGGTAGGGTTCCCTACGGACCCGGTCCGTCCACCATCTCCCAGGATATCTAGTCAGGCTGACCACATTATACAATTATCAATTTACATAACATTTCATTCCCCTTTTCCTCAGTCAGCATCATCAATTCACACACAAATAAGTAAACCAGTAATTTATGCCAAATAAGACAACATACAACATCGGGTTCTCAGTCATTCAACCCATAATCAACAAAACAGTGATATATGCACACGAAACTATGAAATGAAAACATCAGACCTCATACTGCATTTAAAACTGTAAAATAGGCCAAACAACAGCTGACCGACAAACACACCAGACTCGGGCTCCATTAGCGACCTTAAACAATTTCACACATCTATTGATTCATGAAATACCGTTTTATCATTTATTGAACTTTAATACCGTGATAGGAAATAGGGTGAGGGGTCCTTACTTGTTTCGCGGTCCGAATACGGCTCTACAGTGCGCCTACAGGCTGTCCCTAATTTTTCCTGAATTTTTTCCGGGGAACTGAAACGCACTACTGGTACCTGCACGTGTCCCAAAAAATTCCAAATTAGATCCAGGGCCCCTTTCGGCCAATATCACAATTCTGGCACGGCGGCTACGCCGTGCTCCGGCGACGATTCGCCTCGGATTGGCTGTTTTTGGCCGTTTCCGGCCGAATTCGGCCACACTTGAATCGGTCCCTGCGATAAAACAACCCTAGGGCCCTCGGGGGGCCAAAAAATTACGAAAAATCGAAGCTTACCGGCGGCGGTGCTCTTGGGTGCGGCGGCTCTCCGGCGAGGTTCGTGTTTTGGTGATTTGGCTCCTATCAACCTGTAAAGAAAAGAATGGTGATCACGGCGATATAAAAATTGTATCAAACGGAGGCCGGGAAGGGCCTCATCGGAGGCAAAAATCGAGGAGTGGCGCGGCGGCGCCGCTGGGTTTCGGCCGTGTTTTTCGGCCGTTTGGCCGGGATTTTGGCTCCGATTTGGCCACAGGGGAACTCAGCATTGAAAAACGAGCCGGGGGTATGAAATTTACCTCGATCGGCGGTCGGAAAACTCCCCGGTGCGGCGGCGGGTGGCGGCGGCCGGCTCCTCCGGCGTCTGGTTCGTCTTCTCCGGTGAGGGCAGGCGGTTAGGGTTTTTGTGGTCAGGTGTGGGGGTTTTATTTATACCCTTTTGCCTTTTAATCACAGCCGTCCATTTTGATTAAATCTGGACCGTTCGTACTTGATTGAATCTGGGCTGTCCGTGCGCGTGCATCTGGGCCGTCCGTACGCATGCATCTGGGCCGTCCGTGCGCACACTTGATCTGGGCTGTCCATGTGCGCGGGGACGCATCTGGACCGTTCGATCGCGCGCACGCGGATCGCCCACGTGGCCCGTTCCCGGGTCGACGTGGTCTTGCCACGCGGCAGGTCCTCGTTGGCCAGGGCTGCTGACTGGGCCGCTGACGTGGCTGCTGACGGGGCACAATTTTTCTAAATTGCGTTTTGACCATCAGTTTCCGATTTTCTTTTAAAAAATACCCTCAGAATCCTAATTTTCACTCTTGTTTTCCAAAATCAATTTCAATTAAATCCAAATAATATTTTTACCCAATTTTATCATTATTATTATTTTTATTTTTGTTAAAAAAAATTAAATTAAATTAAATAAATCAATTAAAATAATAAAATTATAAAATAAACTAAATAAAATTAATAATAATAATAAAAATTATAAAATTATAAAATTAGTGGGCGTTACAGAAACAATCTTTTGGTTAGGGTATTCAAAAACTATATGTCCATAATCTTTGTGCTTGAAATAAAACAAATTTTAAACTTTACTAACATTTAAGTTGAAAGAAGATTAGCAAGATAGAAGAGGAATTCCTTGTTCGGGGAGGGTGGGGGGGGGGGGGGGAGATTAACACTCATAAAGAGCACGCTAACTAATCTTTCCATTTACTATATGTCTGTCCTGACAATTTCTGTGAAGATGGCAAAGAAATTAGAGGCATTTAGTGTTGATTTCTTTGGGTGATGAAGAGGGAAGAGGTTAAGAAGCCTAGGATTAGGGGGGATTAGGGAAGAAGGCAGTCTTCTCGAAGACAATATTAAACAACTTGAATTTCAAGAGCTCTAAAATCACCAGTCCGAGGATCCACATCTTTTCATAAAATGTTGAAGCTCTTCTTCTCAATAAAAAATACAAAAACTTTATGCTAACCACCAATATCAAAGTTGGAAAGCTAATACGAACAAGGGATTGAGAGAAAATATAAGAAATAGAAGATAGAATTTGGACATTGGACTCCACGACTGTTTACACCTGAAAGTCCTTTTCCAATTACTTCATACTCCTAATTGCCGTGTGAGACTTTCACTTGTGCTTTTTGTAAGATTAAAATTCCTTCTAGCATAAAATTTTTCTTCTTAAGGGTTGTTTAAGAATCACAAGCTCGCAAACCTAATCATGCTCTCTTCCATATATCTATATTATGTGCTTCAGGAGGGTTAGATCCATAATCACCTTTTTTGTGATGTTGTTTGGAGATTTTGGTATAGGCTTTTTCATACTTTTTTGCATTTTCTAGTTTCCCCCTTCCCTCAATCTTTTTCCTATTTCACTGCTTATCAGAGTTGAGGTGAAAAAGGAAGCTAAGATCCTTTTGGAGAGATGCTCTTTTTCTGGGTTATGGGTTTTGTTGTTGGAGCACACAATAATCTTCAAGCATCACTACTTTCTTTTGATTCTTTGGGGCATAATGAATCTCTAGTTTTTTGTGTGGGTCAATGCTCTTTCAGACATGTTGCTTTTGACTTTTATTAAAAGGGGCTGAGATGCAATCTTGTATTGACTTTTGTTGTTTTGTTTTTACTCCTAAATTTTTGAGGCTCTGGAAGATTTCTTATCCTCTATCTCTGTACCTTTCTCCTTTCAATTTATGAATACTTAGTTTTTCATCTAAAAAAATGGTATACTTTACTATATTAGGTATCTAGTATTGAGGTTGAAAAGTATTTAGTTCCCTTTGGTTAGTGGGAGGCTCCGGCCATCTTCAAGAAACTTCATTGTGCCTCTAAGCCAGTTTGCATGCATTTTTAGCCTGGTTTTCTAAAATGTTTTAGCATTTTTGAGGCTATTAAGGATTAGAGTGCAAAAGGAGGTTAGTATGGTGCCTTGAGGGTTGTGGTGTATATCAGTAGAACATTGTCAGATTTCTGCATGGAAAAATTGGCAGCAACAGATTTGATAGGATGAACATATATATATGTTTTATTTTTCTGATGTAGAACTTGGAGAGAAAGTTTGATAAGAATTTATGCCCAGTATTGAGAATTTTAGCAGTAGAGAGAGTATAGACTTACTGGATCTCATTCCTATTATTCATGGTTTCACTGAAGAAAATAACATTACAGGAAAGGGGAGACCAGTTATGAACTGGCCCACCAGAATGAAAATTGCTCTGGGTGCGGCAAAAGGATTGGCATATCTGCACGAGGACTGTAAGTATTCATCACATGCTATCCATGCATTGAGTACTTTACTAGCCTTTTAGGTTCAAAGAATTTGTCATGAATTTCACTCTTTTTGGATCCAATGCATTCTCAGGCCAACCGAAGATAATACACCGTGATATCAAGGCTGCAAACATTCTTCTAGATGATATGTTTGAAGCAAAGGTATTACTTGTCATATAGTCAGTATTTGGCTTCGAATATTTTTCTAGATGATATTTCTGAGTTAAATGTACTATTTCATAGAATCAGCATTTGCGTCAGCTAGAATTTCTAATTTACTATTCGCACAGCTCTAATTCATTCATCATGCACGCAACTCTGTGTAACTAAATTAAGCTTCTCTCTATGCTGTGAACAAGAATACCTTTCTTCAATCTGCTTGAGTTATTTTATATTTTTTTAAGTTTTGGTAAGATTCTTTCAGAATCAAATCTCTCTTGCCCTTGTTCTTCTTTGGCCAGACTCCCCTGACCTACCTAAACACTTAGGTTTGACTTTTCCTCTAACTGTTATTTTATGCTCTACTTCTGTCAGATTTTTTTGAAGAACTGATGCATCTGTAAGGCTTTTGTCATAGTTTTTGAAGGAAATTCTTTTCCCCAACAAATTATTCTCAACTGGAAATCATCTGATGGGTTTGAAAAGGAGTTAAAGATCCTGGACATCGAACGAGAATGTCTGATCTTAATTGTTGCAAAGCATGATGACCATTTTTTTTTAACAAAGGGAGCAACTTCATTTTGATCTAGCCATGAGATCATGCGCCAATGCTAGTTTCAAATCGCTTATGAGTGTGCTCTGATCTTTCTTTCAGGTTGCAGATTTTGGACTTGCGAAAGTTACTTTAGACACTGATACTCATGTCTCTACTAGAGTAATGGGAACTTTTGGGTATGAAATTTACTTGTTCTAGTACAAGCCTCTGATGTCAATGGTTTAGGCTATATAGTATTATTAATTTTTTAGAATTTCCATTCACTATTTGTAACTATGAACTAATCATATCTTTCTCTTCATCCCTTCTGGTGCATGCTCGCCAAATCTAGATACCTGGCACCAGAATATGCCTCTTCTGGGAAGCTCACTGATAAATCGGATGTCTTCTCCTTTGGGGTTGTGCTTCTGGAGTTGATAACAGGACGCCGGCCAGTTGATAAGACACAACCTTTTGCCGAGGATAGCATTGTTGACTGGGTGCGTACTCGATCTTGTTAGTAGTATCTTATTTTCTTGATCAAGAGAATTGATTTCGTTGGATCCCTTTGGAAGCTTGTTCTTACATTATTAGTCAATTGAACTTATAAAGGAGAGATATGACTACTTTTTTAATTCTAAATATAGAAAAGTGTTGGTGTCCCGGGATTATCCTTTTTTTTTGTCTCTTCACTATTTGTGTTTTTATTAAGGTCTAGGACAGGATCTTGTGTGGCCAACTGCGAGATTTTGGGAAGCAAGCTACACTCATTATTGGGATAAAATTCTGTTTCGTTGTTTCTATGCAAAGCAACCAGCCTTACTGTTTTGTAATGCCTCATAAGAATGCTAGCTAACAACTTTAGGGACCCAAATTACTCGTCTTTTAAATCTCAAGGTTAAATTATTGGTAGTGTGTGACTTGAGTCAATTGAACTTAAAAATGAGAGATATGACTATTTTTTAATTTAAATATAGAAAAATGTTGGTGTCTGGGGATTCTCCTTCTTCCTTTTCTTGACTATTTGTATGTTTATTTAGGTCTAGGGCAGGATCTTGTGTGGCCAAGTGCAAGCTTTTGGGAAGCAAGCTACACTCACTATTGGAATAAAAAAACTTGTTTCATTGTTTGTATCCAAAGCTAACGAGCCTTACTGTTTCTATATTTCCTTGGACAAAAGCTGGTTGATAACTTTTTGGATCCAAATCATTGGTCCTTTAAAACTCAAGCTTAATTTGTTGATAATATGTAACATGAGTCTGTATATAGAGTTAAACAATAACATATTGTATCAAAATGGATTGTGACATGATAATCTCCATTACTCAAATCTTTAATATTGTCATAAAAGCCACATATTATAATCATAAATCATAATCACAAGGTCTAACAACTTTTTGAACCTTAATAACTGGCTCCTGAAAGTTTAAGTTCAAATTACTGATACTCTGTGTCTTGAGTCTTTATATAGAGTTTCATAATAACATATTTCTAATATGAAATGTAGAAAATCATAGAAGGGAATTTGGTTTAATTTCTGTTTGCCTAATGGGAGGAACCATCAAATGGTTAAGGTGTGTCCGGTAACCATATATTGTTATTCCTTTCCCTCATAAAGCTGTTAGGAATTGATTGTATTTCTTTCCTATAAATAAGCACCTCATGGTGAAGGAAATAAGACAAGTAGAAGAGAATTTTTCCACTCTCAAAATTTCATGGTATCAGAGCAATTCTGATCTAGGAGCTTCATCCCGATTGAGCCGAAGTCATAGATGGCCACGGGTGAGCTATCGTCTTCTCCACCCGAAGTTTCTTCGGGTTCTTATCTTCCCGCACCCATCAACTATGGTTTAGTTGAACAGTCTTCGTCATTCATTATCGGGCACAAACTAAACGACAACAACTATCTTCAGTGGTCATCATTGGTGCTGCTGTTCATTCGGGGTGTGGGTCGAGATGAATACCTCACCGGCGAAATCGTACCTCCACTTGCCAACGATCCGAATGCCCGAACATGGAAAATCGAAAACAGTATGGTTATGTCATGGTTAGTAAACTCGATGACGCCCGAAATTGGAGAGAATTTTCTCTTCTACGAGACTGCGCATGAAATCTGGGAAGAGTCTCGAAAATTTTACTTTAGTAAGGAAAATACCTCTGCCATCTTTGAAATTGAGTCCAGCTTTCACGACCTGCGACAAGGTGAGTTAAACGTAACCTAGTATTACAATACTCTAACTCGCAGTTGACAGCAACTTGATGTGTTTGAAGAACATCGTTGGAGCTGTTCCGAAGATGTCAAACTCTTCAAATCGATTATTGAGCAGAAGCGAATTTTCAAGTTCCTAATGGGATTAGAAAAAAACTTGGATGAAGTGCAAGGATGGATATTGGGAATCAAACCGTTGCCAAGCATCCGTGAAGTGTTCTCCGAGATTCAGCGAGAAGAAAGCCGAAAGAAAGTGATGATGGGAGACACGCAATCCATTCACCTAATTGAAAGTGCTTCTGTGCTTACAACTAAAACACTAGATTCTTGTGGGAAGAGGGGACGACTGTGGTGTGACCACTGTAGGAAACCCAGTCACATACGCAAAAAATGCTGGAAACTTCATGGAAGACCTGCTGATAGAAAGCCATCCAAGTCTAAAAACCCCAACGACCACCAAGGGAATCATGTAACCTCTGAAGATACTCTATTGACCGCTGCGGAAAGTTGCTTATTTAGTCAAGAACAGATGGTCCAGAGAATGCGTTCTCAGAAGAATCATCTCATCAGTACTTCGGTAGCACATAAAGGTAAAATTCCCCTTGGTTTATCAGCTTACTCTTGAAAAAGGCAAGTTTGGATTATGGACAGTGGGGCATCCGATCACATGACGCGTGATGCTTCACTGCTCTAGCAGTATAGCTCGTGTAAGGAAGGGTTCACAATTAGAATTGAGATGGGTTCATCTCTGAAGTGGCAGGAATGGATTATGTTGTTTTGTCAGCATATTTGACTCTTTATTCCGTTCTATATGTCTCAAATTTGAACTGTAATTTGTTATTTGTGAGCAAACTTTCTGGAGATCTAAATTGTGTTGCCAAATTTGTTTCTAATATACATGAATTTTAGGATTTAAACTCAGGGATGACGATTGGCAATATTAGGATGAATTCAGGGCTGTACCTTCTTCAAACCGACACCTCTAGGAGACAAACTCACAATGCAATATGTGTAAACTCTGTTTCTGTAAGTCATTCAAATAATGACCATGATATCATGTTGTGGCATTATCGATTAGGACATCCAAATTTCTTATACCTAAAAAAATTGTTTCCTTTGTTGTTCAAGAATAAAAATCCTTTTTTATTTCAGTGTAAAGTATGTCGATTCTCAAAATATATTCGAAACTCATTTTCTAGTCTATCATACAAACCCTCAAAACCATTTGCATTAATTCATAGCGATGTATGAGAACTTTTCAGGGTCACTAACATCACCGGAATTAGGTGGTTTGTATCATTTATTGATGATCATACGAGAATTATTTGGGTATTTCTCATGAGAGAAAAATCTGAAGTTGGGTTCATATTTCAGAAATTCAATATTATGATTCAAACTCAATTTTATATCACCATACAAGTGTTGAAGTCTGATAACGCATGTGAGTACTTCGAAACCGCCATCGGAAAATATTTTACTGAATATGACATTATCCATCAGAATTCGTGTACATACTCCACAACAAAATGGTATAGCTGAAAGAAAAAACAGACATATTCTTGAGATAGCTCGATCGATCATGTTTACCACTCATGTCCCAAAATACTTTTGGGGAGAGACAATACTAACTGCAACATACTTAATAAACTAAATGCCCTCCCGTATCCTTCATTTTCAGTCACCCTATAACCTCCTCCTATAAATTTTTCTTGAATTTCATATCTTAAACATTCTCCTACTTAAAGTTTTGGTTGCTCAGCATATGTTCATATTGCTGCACACCTCAGGAGAAAACTTGACCCAAAAGCTCTCAAATACATCTTTATTGGGTACTCTTCTAATAAAAAAAGATACAAATGCCTCTTTTCGGATATCCATCGATTCTATAATATAATGGATGTCACATTTTTTGAAAACCAACCTTTTTACCCCACAACTGATATTCAGGGGGAGAACTTTACTTAGAAGTATCAATTGTGGGATGTGAGTATACCCTCTCTTTATCCACAGATTTCACCAAATGCACATTCTCTAGAGTTTAAATCTAATACTTTACCTGAAACCACACACAAAGAGCTTGAGCCAGTGACAGTAACTGAAAATAATTAATGAGTTACGTGTCTACACTAAAAGGAATAAAGTTCAAGAAGGGAAAGTGCCTGAATCGATCAAGCCTTGCCATGAATCAATTCCTGCTCCAGATGTCCAAAAATTAACAAGTAATGAGATCTCTGTCCTTGCTATTAATATTGACACTGAACTGCCTATTGTTTTAAGAAAAGGGATTCAGACATGCACCAAACATCCTATACAGGACTATATCTCATTTGACAAGTTGTCTTCGAAACATCATGCATTTGTGAGCAAGTTAGATAGTAGTTCCCCAGAGCTAAAAACGATCCATGAAGCCCTCCAAGTACCAGAATAAAGAACAACCATCCATGAGTAAATTAGAGCACTTGAGAAGAATATAACATGGGAGTTAACAGATCTGCTTCCAGGGAAGCATCAGGTGGGATGTAAGTGGGTCTTTACAACTAAATACAATCCGGATGGAAGTGTGAATCAGTATAAAGCTCGTCTGGTAGTCAAAGGCTTTACTCATTACTATAAGATAGACTATTAAGAGACATTTGCTCCAATAACCAAACATAATACAATTCGGGTACTACTTTCACTTGTCTCAAATCTTGATTGACCATTTTGTCAGTTAGATGTAAAGAATGCTTTTCTTAACGGTGATCTAGAAGAAGAAGTATACATGGACGTCCCATTAGGATTTGAACTAACAAACAATCCTCATAAAGTGTACAAACTCAAAAAGTCACTTTATGGTCTTAATCAATCCCCAAGGGCATGGTTTGATAGATTCATAAAGGTAGTGAAACGAGTAGGGTATGAGCAATGTCAGTCAGATCACACACTGTTTGTTAAGCATTGTATCTCAGGTAAAAAAGCTATTTTGATTGTGTATGGGGATGACATCATTCTAACAGGGGACCATATTGAGGAAATTTAGAAGCTTAAATAGTTTTTGGCCAAAGAATTTAAAATTAAGGATCTTGAAATGTTCAATTACTTTCTTGACATAGAGGTAGCTCGGTCCAAAAAGAGAATTTCGGTATCATAACGGAAATATGTTATAGACCTTCTGAAGGAGACAAGGATGCTCGGAAGTAAACTTGCAGATACACCTACGGATCTAACCGTGAAACTAGGGTTCAAGGTCAGTGATAAGACAATTGATAAAGAGAGGTATCAAAGATTTGTAGACAAACTCATCTATTTGACACATATAAGACCCGACATCAGTTTTGCAGTTAGTACAGTAAGTCAATTCATGAATCAATCAACTGAGAAACATATCAAAGCTATATATCGGATTCTGAGATACCTAAAGATGACTCCAGATCAAGGATTGTTTTTCAAAAAGGCAATGAATAGGGGTGTTGAAATCTTCACTGATGCCGATTGGGCAAGATCAATAACAGACAGAATGCATTAGGATATTGTACCTATATTTGGGGAAACTTGGTCACTTGGCACAATAAGAAACAGTTAGTGGTATTACGTAGCAGCGCAAAATCTGAATTTCAGACACTCGCTCATAAAATATGTGAGGGAGTGTGGTTGAGGAGGATACTATTAGAACTGAAAGCTTCTGTTAACACTCCTATGAAAGTATAGTGTGACAACCAATCAACCATTAGCATGGTCAAAAATCTAGTATATCATGACCGAACTAAACATGTAAAAATTGATCGATACTTCATCAAGGAAAAAATGGAAGATGGAAGTATAACTCTTATGCACATTCCAACTAGTCAACAAATTGCAGATATCCTAACAAAAATTCTACCAAAAGAGGCATTTGATGATATTGTATCCAATATAGGTTTAGTTAACATATATGTAAACTAAATTGAGGGGGAGTGTAGAAAATCATAGAAGGGAATTTGGTTTAATTTCTGTTTGCCTAGTGGAAGGAATCATCAAATGGTTAAGGTGTCTCCGGTAACCATATATTGTTATTCCTTTCCCCCATAAAGCTGTTAAGAATTGGTTGTATTCCTTTCCTATAAATAAGCAGTTCATGATGAAGGAAATAAAACAAGTAGAAGAGAATTTTTTCATTCTCAAAACTTCATGAGATTTGGGTATCACATTCTTTTTATGTTTCTAATATGCTGCCTCAATATTTCTTATTGTGGTCTTGGCTTAAAATATCATTAGAGTAAAATTACAGTGTCTCTTATGTTTTGCCTTTAATAACATCTCAGTTCATTGTTGTAATATCCACGCGGACAAGCAAAAGGGTTATTCAATTCATGCCATTAGCTATCTTTTTGGGTTGTTTGGAGAGAGAGGATTAGCAAAGCTTATGATGGTTTTAATCTCCTTTTCATGGAATTAGAGATATTTTCCTAAACTTTCTTAGTTTATGATCTAACATTAACCTTCACTCCAATTTTTCTGAGGTGGGAACCTTATAAATCTTCTGATTTGGACCTAAATACAAGTTCTTCAATTTTTTTTTCCCCGGAAAGTAAAGATCATGAACATTCTTTTCTTTTGACATGTGTGGCACTCCTCCCTGCACTCAAGAGTTAGATTTTTAGAATTCTCATTTCATTTTTAGTTAATTCGTGTATTGATTCTAGATTACTCCTAGTATCGAGAGCTACCATATGGTTTGCACTTTCCAATCACCTTCACATGGGAGTGAAATGGCTTGAACATAAAAAAATCATTTTGTAATTCACATATCTATACTAACGTGAGAATTAAGTACAGGAATTATTTAGAAACAGAGGACTACACCAAATTAATCTTTGTGCTTTTCAGAAAAAAAGGGTCAGGCCATTACATTCAAAAACATGTACCCACCTTTTAGAAATTAAAATAACTCGTGATGCCTAGCCGTAATACCATTGGAGGGCTCAGAAAACGGATCCAACCCCAGTCTTCAAGGCTCAGGAAAAGTCTACTGCCAGTGAGCTGACTGGCTAGGCTGAAACTTATATTATTAAAATACATTTAGTTCTTACCATTTGTAAATGTTTACATTATATTTGATTTTTAACTCTATTTTCTTCACTTCAGGTTTTTTAGTCCTACTTTGCGTGAGTACTTTTTTTTGAAGTCACTACCTTGTATTTTATTTAAACAATTTCTTTTTGAATCATTTTATTCTTGAAAATTAATGGTTAATTAACATGCGGGAACCGCTGTTGTGCTTATAGTCAAAATTAAGAATAAAAACTTTAAAAATGAAAAGCAAAAGGGAAAACCAAGAGTGCCGCAGCTGTTTGGAATTTTGTGCTTGCATATATTCATCTATGCTTGTATGTTGTTTTACTCTAAAATAGGTTATGATTTAGTCAACCTATTGAGTTGTGAGTTAATACTTACTTAAAAAATGTTTTCTTCAGCGGTTTGGTGTAAAAATACTTTGTTTATATTAGAAAAAGTACACGATTCTGAAAATGTAGTATGTCCAGCTGAAAAGTCTGTTGGCCAAATGTGGAAGTTTTCGTGTAGCTCAGACTTTTGTATCCAACGGTTGGATAGGCATATTGTTTTTATTTTTTTTATTTGTTCAAACCAAATGATGGTGAATGTCTGTGGTACCACAGGTGTGGCAAGATGTTACATTAGATCAGTGTACAGGATGTTGTGCATTGAACCATGGACCATTTTTAACTTTTTGTGATAGAGGTTGTTGTATTTGAAGCTTGACTGCCATGAGAAATATAACATGTAACATTATGGCATTTAGGCAAAGCCTTTGCTGGCACAAGCTCTGGAAGATGGAAACTTCGAGGCTTTTGTTGATCCAAGGTTGCAGAATGACTATGAACCTAATGAAATTACTCGAATGGTTGCTTGTGCTGCTGCTTCTGTGCACCATTCAGCAAAGCGGCGTCCTCGAATGAGCCAGGTACTATTAAGTTATATTTGGATCCAGAATTCGGATTTAGCTGATGGTTTCCAACTTTGATTTTTGCTTTAAGTGATTTATCAGAAGGTCTTTTATCTTCTTATCTCTTTCCTTTTAAAGAATAGAGAAATCTAAATCAAATTTACATCTTCACGAGTTCTTGGCAAGTTAAATATCTATCTTATCTCCAAATCATCACTTATCCCAGAAAAGGAAGATTTTAAAAGTTCATGTTTACGTAAACTAACCAGATAGTTCGAGCTTTGGAGGGAGACATATCTCTTGCTGACTTGAATGAGGGAACTGAATCTGGGCAGAGCAAAGTTCTCAGTTCCTTTGTGTGCTCAGACTATAGTTCTGCACAATACAGGGAAGACTTGCAGAAATTCAGAAAGATGGCTCTAGAAAGCCAAGTCCAAGTTAGTAGTGAATATAGTGGGCTGACCAATGAGTATGGCCAAAACCCATCTGGCTCTAGCTCTGAAGGGCAACAAACTACTCAAGAGATGTTGCAGAACGTGGAGAAAGAAACTGAAGATGTCAAGAAAAGCTCTTAATGTACATTACGGTCCTCACAACTTTCCCCCTTTGGATGGGCATTCTGTTTTACTCGATCCTTCAAATTTAGCATCAAAACTGGGAAATGTAGTTCAGCTCACCTTTTAAGGCACAACTCTTTGAGGCATCACAGGTGCATTAACTTGATATTGTCCAGACGACATGGCTTTTGTTGATGCGGTTTGTTTACATCACCAAATATACAGAGAGAGGTGAAGCGAAGAAGATAAAATGTTCAATTCTTTGGTATATGCATCCCTTCAATTCTTATGTGATGCATCATTTCTCAGCATCGAGGTAGTTATTTTAGATAGACGTTTACTGTGATATATTTGTAATGAATCATTCCCTGGATTCCTCATGTCAATATCATTATTCTATATATCAAGTTATTATATTGTAAGTTCATATGCTGTATATCAACATCACTATTATTACCAGAGTTAGATTGGATTAAGTTGAGAAGCTGTATGAGCTAATCATGATTGTCGCTGTTGTTATTGTACCATTTTTATAGGATGAAAAATTTGATTCCTATCATCAAATGCAGCAGATGACGTTAATCCAGTTCATTGGTTTCAATTGTAATCAACATTCTTGGTTAGATTGTTATGTGCTAATCAGAAAGCATATAGAAAGTGTATTTTTGGTGTAAAGTTTGTGTGAGTTTGTGCTCTCAAAGTTTACTAGGTGACTTTTGAGGTAGATGTGATGGGATGAGTACTTCAAATCAATTATTTAAAAATGTATACATGCAACCAGTATTTTACTAATGAAGAACAAAGATCAACTTCATTTCATTATCTCGTCTTAAATGTTTCATGCCCTAAAACCAACCACAAGAGTTTTGAGATTTTAAGCATGATATATTGCACATCTCGATATGTTAGGTTCAAAGAACATAAAGAATAAGAAACAAAAATATTATGTTGTTATTGTAGCATAGTTGTAATCCACAAAAGAAAGAAGAAGAAAAGCAACAATAAAGGCCTTGTGCAAGTGAGGAAATGTGGAAATCTCCATAAGCTTTTAGGCTAGCTTTAATCATGATGAAGAGAATATTTATAATAAGCCTTTATTATTGTTTATGAATCATTTCTTCTTTCTTCAAATTACTAAGACCTTTAACAATGGAACTTGGGAATCTTTTTATTAAAGTAAAAAACTTCCATAGTTACTGGATAGAATGGAGTTAAGGGAGGCATAAGGATAAAAGAGAAAATGAGGGGCAAAACTTATGAAAGTCATCATCAAATGGTCGGAATAAGAGTGGTTTAGTAATTGCATACTAAGGCATCATCTATGGCCTTGTGTGTAAGATGCGATTTGTTTCTTTATCTGTTTCTAGATTTATAGGGACTTGTTGTAGAAACAAGCTGAAAGAAGATGAGGTAGGGGGTGGAAGGAGGAGACAATGAAGGTGGTTAGGAATCACCATTAGATGGACTATGTAGGAAGGAAATTGGAAAAAGGGTGCAACCATAGAAGGATGAGCTAGAGTGGTTGTATAGAGGCTGACTCTGTTTGCCAAAGAAGAAAGCCCTCTGTGATAGATCTCGATCAGAGTTTGGTTTTTACTTCTTATTTTACTTTGTGGTGAGAACTTAAACCCAAAAAACTTAGAATAAAAATGATTTGCCCTTTTTCATTTATGAATGGATTCTTAAATACATAAGGGTTTAACTGAAAATTCCTACTTTTATGGAACAATTAAGGAAAAGATTATAAAAAAAATTCAAATATTGTCAGTGGAGGAGGTGGAGCAGATCACAGTGCTGTTGGTGGGAAAGGTGGAATAGATCGCAGATAGATAACTACAACTACTTCTTCGGTGCTCACTGTTGTGCGGCCAGAGAGACCGCTTTTTCTGCAGTCCACGATTTCCCATGATTTTCGCAATCTGCATATCTTGGATTGGGGATAAGAGTCTGGGCCGACTTTCTAGGGATCCTATCACCACTCCCCCCATTGAGAGGAACCTTCTCAAGGTTCAAGTGCTCTTGTCTCTCCACTCAGCCAGGCTTCATAGGTTTGACATCTTCTTCCTCTTCATCGCCTTCTAGAAGCAATAGTTGGGGCCGACGGCATTGGTGGCTGAATGTAAATTTTTTGTCACAGTAGAAGCACAACACTTGCGTTCGCTGACGCTGTGCTTCTTCCCAGGATAACCACTTGGGCGGGGTGACTATCATTGCTAGGGCTCGCATGGGTTGATCAGGTAAGGGAGATGCTTGCTGATCGGGTTGAGTTTGCCCCTCCCATCTCAGTCTCTCTTGACGGCCTAGTTGCTCCTCGTGCATGCGAGCTAGGCTTATTGCATCCTTCAACATTCTGGGCTTGAACATCCTTATCTCATCTACAATTTCGGGCTTGAGCCGCCAATGAAAGTCCCAACAAAAACTTTTTTGGTCTAGCCTTGGACTTGGTTCCCCAATTTTTCAAATTCTTTTTGATAGTCCTTCAGCGAGCCCAGTTGGCGAATTTTGGATAAAGCCTCATCGAAATATTCACACTCCCTCGACCCAAAGCGAGCCCATAGCTCCTCGGTGAATTCGGTCCAAGTCACCACATGACCCTCTTCTCTGTAAGCTCTCCTCAACCATTGCCACCATTGGTTGACCTCCCCTTCAAGGTGGAGTGCTGCCAAGGAGACTTTGTGGTGATCGGCGGTGCCTTGAAACTCAAAGAACTGCTAGAATCTGTTGAACCACTCGGTGGGGTCGTCGCCGGTATATGTTGGGAAGTCTTGCTTGGCAAGTTTGGAATAAAAACCTTGTCGTCCTGCATCTGACCATTCACTTTCTTCTTCCTTGTTTGGTCGAATTGGCCCAAGCCGACCCAAAGAATGAGTGGCAGAAGCTTCACAGCTTGACATAATGGTATTGGTGAGATGCTGCAAGTTTTCTTCAATCATTCACAGCTTGTCGGCCATCCCCAATTCCAGCCGGCTCACACTATCTTGTAGTTGTCCAAGCATTATCCTTGGACATCATTGTAACGGCCCCGGAAATTTAAAATGAATGTATATTAAAAATATCAAATGCGGAAGCGAAGTCAAAATTTGAATAACATCCCTTACACTAAAACCAAAAACGTGCTCACAAAATATAAAAGATCAAACTACCTAAAGGAGAAACTTGAAAGTAAAAGCTACGAATATGACTATGGAGTCTTTAGGCGTCCCCTTCGTCGTCCTCCTGCGGAACCGGCTCGGGAACGATGTCCTCTTGATCTGAAATGATTAAATAAGGAATGAGCTACACTAGTCCAGTAAAGACATCACGATATCTCACCGTCACGGAGGTAAAGGTGGGTAGAAAACACAAAAAGACAAATGGAGCATAATTTACAACAAATCCTTTTATCAATAATAAAACCTTTACCATTCACTTACCTCGATAGAATGAATAAAACAGTGTACGAAAGCAATAACATCATCATCATCATGAAATCATATATAAATTGTATAACATAATACTTATCAAGCTTTTCGTAATTCAATCGTTACACAACATATTTTCCTCATTTACCAGCCCACTAGTATCCATGGGGATCCATAGGGGTCCCGCTACCCGTTAACCCTTAACACTTGAAATCATTTTTTCAAGGCCGTCCCTATACCCTGTCCGGTATGGGCGCCAAAACTATAGACCTCATTACCCCGTCCGGTATGAGGGTGAAACGGGCCGTCCCCATACCCCGTCCGGTATGGACGTCAAAAACACATAAGATCTCCATACCCCGTCCGGTATGGGAGACCACAATCCCGGTAGGGTTCCCTACGGATCCGGTCCGTCCACCATCTCCCAAGATATCTAGTCAGGCTGACCACATTATACAATTACCCATTTACATAATCTATCATTCTCTTTTCCCTCAGTCAGCATCATCAATCCACATACAAACAAGCAAAACAGTAATTTATGCCAAACAGACAACATACAGCATCAATATCCCAGTCATTCAATCCATAATCAATAAAACAGTACAATATGCACACGAAACTATAAAATGAAAACATCAAACCTCATACTGCATTTAAAACTGTAAAACAGGCCAAATAACAGTTAACCGACAAACACACTAGACTCGGGCTCCATTAGCGACCCTAAGCAATTTCACACATTCGTTGATTCATGAAATACCGTTTTATCATTTATTGAACTTTAAAACCGTGACAGAAAATAGGGTGAGGGGTCCTTACTCGTTTAGGGGTCCGAACACGGCTTCACAGTGCGCCTACAAGCTGTCCCCAATTTTCTCTGAATTTTTCCTAGGGAACTGAAACGCACTACTGGTACCTGCACGTGTTCCAAAAAAAAATCCCAAATTAGGTTCAGGGCCCCTTTCGGCCAATATCGCAACTCCAGCACAGCGGCGGCGATTCACCTCGGTTTGGCCGTTTTCGGCCGAATTCGGCCACACTTGCATCGATCCTTGCGATTAAACAACTCTAGGGCCCTCGGGGGGCCAAAAAATTACGAAAAATTGAAGCTTACCGGCGGCGGTGCTCTCGGGTGCGGCGGCTCTCCGGTGAAGTTCGTGTTTTGGTGATTCGGCTCCGATCAACCTGTAGAGAAAAGAATGGTGATCACGGTGATATAAAAATTGCATTAAACGGAGGCCGGGAAGGGCCTCATCGGAGGCAAAAACTGAGGAGGGGCGCGGCGGCGCCGCTGGGCTTCGGCTGTGTTTTCCGGTCGTTTGGCCGGGATTTTGGCTCCGATTTGGCCACAGGAGAAATCAGCATGGAAAAATGAGTCGGGAGTATGAAATTTACCTCGATCGGCGGTTGGAAATCTCCCCGGTGCGGCGGCGGGTGGCGGCGGCCGGCTTCTGGTTCGTCTTCTCCGGCGAGGGCAGGCGGCTAGGGTTTTGTGGTCTGGTGTGGGGGTTCTATTTATACCCTTTTGCCTTTTGATCTTAACCGTCCATTTTGATTTAATCTGGACTGTCCGTTTTTGATTAAATCTGGGCCGTCCGATCGCGCGCATGCGGATCGCCAACGTGGCCCGTCCCCGGTCGACGTGGTTTTGCCACGTGGCAGGTCCTGGTTGGCCAGGACTGCTGACTGGGTCTGCTGACGTGGCTGCTGACGTGGCACACCTTTTTTTTTTCCCCCCTCTTTCCGGGCATTACAATCATTGATTATGGTATCTACCTCGCTTAGTTACAGTGTCAGCCTTACTTCATAGAGAGGATTAAGGAGTCTCAATCTAGAGATCCCTAGGTCCTGAAATAAAGAAAAAAGATCGCTCTTTGAGTGAAGACTAACTTTAGAATTACTGACGATGATATGGTACGATTTGAAAACCCTTTATGGTTAGTAGAAAATTTAGAATTGAGACAAGATATCTTGAAAAAGGCACATTTCTCTTGATTATCTATTCATCCTGGTAGCACCAAGATGTATCATGACTTGAGATCTCATTTTTGGTGGCGCAGATGAAGAGGGATATCATAGACTTTATCTCCAAATGTATTACCTATTAGCTTATCAAGGTTAAGCACCAGCGTCCTGGTAGGTTACTTTAGTCTCTTCCTATTTTTAAGTGGAAATAAGAACATGCAACCGTGGATTTCATTGTTGGTTTAGTCTGGACTAGTTTTGTTCATAATGCCATCTGCGTAATTGTCGACAGGTTGACTAAGTCGGCACACTTCTTGGCTATAAAGACAATTGATTCGCCTAATTAATTAGCCGAGTTGTATATTCGAGAGATTGTCCGTCTTCATGGTATTCCAATATCTATTTTGTCTGATCAAGACACTCAATTTGCTTTTAGATTCTGGTCTAGTTTTCAAGATGCTCTCGGTTATCGTCTTTCTTTCAGTATTACTTTCCACCCTCAAATTAATGGACAATCTAAAAGAACTATACAGACACTAGATGACATGTTGAGGGCATGCATTATGGATTTTATGGTTCTCCTTCTTATTGGAACGAAGTTGGAAAAAGACAAATGTCAGGACTCGACCTAGTCTAGGAACTATTGATAAGATTTCGATCATCCAACGAAATCTTCTTTCAGTCCAAAATAAACAAAAGAGTTATGCTGACAAAGGAGGAAAAATTTAGAGTTCGTAGTAGGAGATCATGTGTTCCTCAAAGTTTCTCTGGTTAAGGGAATTATGAGATTTAGAAGACGTGGGAAACTAAGTCCCTAATTTATTGGGCTTTTTTAGATCTTATAACAGATTGGCAACGTTGCATACTGACCTGTTCAACCCAGCTTCAAGATTCTCAATCGTTCTTTGTTCGACGCTATGAGGGTTTGTTTCAGTGATTCTAACCTTACTCTAATACCAATTGATAGGTCCCAATCAGAGTTTGATTTTTACTTCTTGTTCTACTTTGTAGTGAGAACTTAAACCCAGAAAACTTAGAGTAAAAATGATCTGCCATCTTTCATTCATGAATGGATTCTTAAATACACAAGGCTTTAACTGAAAATTCCTATTTCTATGGAACGGATAAGGAAAAGATTACAAGAAAATTTAAATATTGTTAGTGGAGGAGATGGAGTAGATCACAGTGCTGTTGGTGGGATAGGTGGAGCAGATCGCAGACGGATAATCATAACTGCTTCTTTGATGCTCACATTTCTATTGTACGGTTAGGGAGACCGTTTTTGCTGCAGTCAACGATTTTCCATAATTTTCGTAATCTGCATATCTTGGATTAGGGATAGGAGTTTGGACCGACTTTCTAGGGATCCTATCACTTTGGTAAAGTCATGAGTTTTAGCAAGATTTAGTTTTCAAAAGGAAAATTATGCCCCATAATTTGTTATGGCAGAAGGATCTGGTTAGAGATAATGTAGAAGTTAATATATTTTTTTATTTCTATTGTCAATGCTGAAAGAAAGGAGTGACATTTTTATGGTCAATAGGAGAAGGCACGTGAAGGATTGCCGAACTCAGAACAAAAGACACTATAAAGAACTAGTAAAGGCACAATCTACGTCACTAAATAGAAGAAAAAGAAAGTAAAACCTAACAGCAATAGAGGAGACTGCAAAAGAATCTACCATAGCAAGTTCAACAGAAAGTGAACCCATCACTACTATGTCTTCATTTGATATGCTAGAACATTTATTGATTGCGTTGACTATATCTGCTCTTAGTTTTTATATCAATTTATTACTTTAATGATTTATATTAATATACAAATTTATTTTATTTTATTTTTAAATATATTTTTAGTTCTGTTAAATTTAAATATTATGTTTTTTATTATTAATTTAATTAGTCAGTAAATTACATTTAAAAAAAAAAAATTTTTGGAGATTAAAATTAAATAAAAAATATTAAGAATAAAACTTATTGTTATTATTCATATTAATATAGATAAAAGAAGTTTCCAGGAGTTTAAAGAAATTAAAGACATTCGTTTGCGGTTGATGATTTTAGTTTTTGCACCCTCACCTCCTTTAAATTCGAATTCCTCTTTCCTAGTTTCTCTTTGAATCAACTGTATAACAATACACCGAGAAAAACAACTCTGATTGGTCAATTACTCCGAACGGTTTTGAAACCATGGAAGCTGCAAGGGAGCAAGGGTCCACGGGACTGCTAAACAAGATCCTTCCGCCGCGTCTCGAAGACGCAGGCCTCGAAGATTGTGCTCTGCCCCCTGGTTCCATTCATGAAGCCTTCCTCAAAGCAGCTAACGCTGTCAAATCGCGCGCAGCTTCGTTCTTCGACTCAGACGATGACGAAATTCAACAGAATGGAGTTTGTGTTACCGATCCGTCGCCTGCCGCTAAGGATAATGGCACGCTGGTTGGCGGCACAGTTCCAAATCCTGGTGCGTCGGACACGGTGGTGGGAGGTTTTCCCGGCGCTGACACGGAGGGACCTTGTCTAGGCGGGAAGGGTGATGGTCCAGGGGTTAGGGATGGTGGTGACGCGGTGGTTGTGGGTGGTGAGTCCATTGGGAAAGAGCTAGAAGGAGAGAAGTGTTGCGTTGGTGATGGATTAGAGGGTTTGGGGACTGAAGGAAAGGTCAATGATGAGACAGAGGAGGAGGGAGAGAGGAAGAAGCCAAACTTGCTTGAAGGTTTTGTATGAAACCCTAAAACTCTTAATGTGGTAGCTATAAGACTTCTGTTTCTAATTAGATAATGCTTATGATTGTTGCTATGCTAGATATTGTATGTATTGTAGTGGTAGATCTTGCTATGTTTTTACTGAAGCAAGTTGTCAAAGTTTTTGTTGTGTTGTATGGTTTCCATTTTACCATTCCTATTTCTGATATATGATGAAATCAATCCTGAACTTCATACTGATGATTGTGAATGTATTGGTTCTCATTTTCAAAAGCAAGTAATCTGAAGAATGGGGATTGTCTACTGATATCAGTGGTTTATGAGTTGCGAATAAATTATGGAAACTGGCACTGATTTTGAAGATATGGAAATGACCATGGATTTTGGAAGTCTTAATTGCTTAATAGTGTGCGTTTGCCTCAGAGTTGTTATTAGGTTTCCCATGCACAAATTCGGTAGGCACCTTGGGTTGTTATTCAAGATTTCTTAGAATTAATTATGGACTTCATAGTCCTATTGGAAAAAAAAAATAGATGATGGCAAAATGAGCAGAGATTGTTACACTCCTTATTTCTCTTCAACGATATCAATAATTATGTAGCTTTGGTTTAATGCTTGTTGAATACTTACCTTCTAATCGAAGAATATTTGGTTTTATGCTTTGATTATGGTCTTGGTTGTTATTTAAGATTTCTTAGAATTAATTATGAGAGATTGTTACATTCCTTATTTCTATTCAATAGCATATTAATAATTATATGCTTTTGGTTTAATGCTTGTTTGAATCCTTTTCTCCCAATGGAAAAATATTTGGTTTAATGCTTTTATTGTGTTTTTGGTTGTTATTCAAGATTTCTTAGAATTAATTGTGGACTTTAGCCCCGGTGAAAAAAATAGATGATGTCAAAATTATCTGAGATTGTCACATTCCTTATTTCTATCAACAACATATAAATAACTCTGTGTTTTTTGTTTAATGCTTATTGAATCCTTATCTCCCAATAGAAGAAAGAAAATAGATTGATATGATCTTATTATAGTGAGAATTGATGATTAGTAATTTGTAGCTCAGATACGATCCATAATTTGTATTGGAAACTTCATTGTAGGCCTCTGAAGATACTTTTTGGCATTTTAAGTACTTTTTCTGGTACAAATGAACTTTATTTGCAGAATTGATTCAGCATATAGAACTGAGACTTATATTTAGTAATAATATTTCCATGTCTCTATAGCTATAGTAATTATGCAATGATGGTAGCAACTATCTAGCTGTTCTGGAGTTGGAGATGATTTGGTCTAGCCACAAGGAATTTGAACTTTTCTTGTTGGTTTTGGTTATTGAAAAATGGGTTGTTTAATTGGTGGTACATAAATGATTTCTTATGAAATTTTCTCACAGTTGGAGGTTGAGCAAAGAAGTTGCTTTTTTAAGTAGTTGTAAGTTGTGATGAAAATCTATTTGGGTGTGGAAGTAAAGGAACAGATGGCGTTTAATGGGGTTGATGATGTTGATGGGTTTGATTTGCTAAATAGATGATATCATATCCTTTTATTTTTATTGTTTGGTCGTTCTCATCATTCTTTAGAGGAGTTACAAGACCTTCTTGATACTTTGATTGTTTTGTAAATTTTGTGTATATGGGCGGGCATGATGGGTTTTAATTAACTATGTGAGTTTTTGTGAAAATTATTGTGCATAAAAGTTTATCAAATTAATTGAGTTCTTTTAAAGTGATCTGATAAGGTTAAGTGTATTTTTTACCAAAATATTTTTAGGAGGCTTTTTTTTTCCAATTTTAAGGATTATTTAGATATTTTAAAGAATAAATTTAGTATAATTTTGAATTTTAATATTGGTATGTTGTATATGTGTATACATATTTTAAAATAAATTAATTTACACAACAGGTCACAAAAGTGACATCTCTTGTGAAAAATTAATTTATTTTAAAATATAAATAGTTGTATGGATGTATTTTATATGAATATTAATCGACCTAAAATAAATTAATATTTAATAGTATTGCATTCATACCTATAGTAATAAATACATGACAATTATTCGACTTTATATGTGAATGATAAATTGACCTAAATAAAGATTTATTATTTGGCATATTCTAGTTGTTAGTATTTGATTACTACGCGAATATAACATTTACAAGTTAATATTTTGTTCGAAGATAAAGTATTAATGGAGTTTTCGATATCCTGAGATGAGATTTACTTTTATTTGAATTTATTATTATTGTTTATGATTTAAAGATTTATGTGAGTTATATTTGTTTTGTTTATTGTTTTGTTCTCTGTTCAGTTTCTAGTTTTGCTACAAATATCTCTGTTAGTATGAATTCAACTCCTATGCTTAATGACACAAATTTCAAGGCATGGTAAAAGTCGATAAACATGTTGAACTCACTACTGGGAGTGCCTTTGATGCTAAGATGGAGATGGAAAGGTGGGAACGATTGAACCAACCGTGTAAGTCTAATGATTATGAAACGTGTTATTCTAGAAGCTTCTTGAGACACTATGTCCAATAAGATTACTACGGTTATAAGTTTCTTTGAGGACCTAGAGAAAAAATTTGCCAAGAATGAAAAGGCTGAAACAAGTATATTCTTGGCAAACCTTATCTCGATGAGATACAAAGGGAAAGGCAACATTAGGGAGTATATTATGAAAATATTTTCCATCGCTTCAAAACTGAAGGCACTCAAGTTGGGATTATCTAAAGACTTATTAGTGCATTTGGTTTTGATATCTCTTCCGACAGTTCAATCAATTAAAGGTGAGTTATAACTGTCAAAAGAACTCTTGATCTCTTAATAAGCTCATCTTACACTATGTTCAAGAAAAAGAAATGTTGAAGCATGAAAAGACAGAAAGTGCTTACTTAGTCATTGCCTCTAAGGACAAAAAAAGTAAAAAGAGAAAGAAAGATAAAGATGTTGCAATTTAAGGACCACAAAAGAAACAACAGAAAGAACAGAATGAGGATGACTGTTACTTCTGTGGAGCTGCAGTCATAAGAAGAAGCACTGTACCAACTATCACGCATAGCATGGAAAGAAATGTATGCTTTTTAACTTTATTTGTTATGAACTTAATTTAACACGTGGTGGATATATTTTGGTGCAATAACTTACTTTAGTGTACTTATGCAAGATTGTTTGAATTATTGAAAATCAAGTGATGATGCAAGATATATCTATGTTGATAATGACAAGTTAGTAGAAGTTGAGGCAATTGAAAATTTTAGATTATTGGTAAGAACTGGTTTTTATTTGGATTTGAATGAAACTTTCGTTGTACCATCATTTAAATGAAATTTGATTTATGTTTTTAATTTGGACAAATTTGGATATTATTGTTCTTTTAAAAATTGAACATGTAATCTTTTTCATGATTTAAAATTGGTTGGTACTGGTTCTTTATCAGGTTACGATAATATATATTGACTTGATATAGTTCTCTTTTAATGAATTTTTGCATGTGAGTGTACCAGGTGTAAAGTGTAAATTGACCAATGAGAATTCTGCCTTATTATGACATAAGAGATTATGTCATCTCTCCAAAAGAAAAATTAAGAGACTTATGTCGGATGAAATTCTTGATCCCATTGATTTACAGATTTGATATGTGTGTCAATTGCATAAAAGAGAAACAAACAAACATTAAGAGATTGAGTGCTACCAGGACTGTGGACATCTTACAATTATACACACAAATATTTGTGAACCATTTCCTCCAGTTTCTTTGAATGATTAACGATATTTATAACGTTCATAGATGACTTCTTTCAAAATAACTACATGAGAAATCACAATTATTGGACGTGTTCAAAAATTATAAAGCTGAAGTTGAGAACCAACTCAATAAAAGTATTAAAGGTGTCAGATCTGACTGTGATGGTGAATACTATGATAGATCAAGTGAACGACGTCCAGAATTATTTGCTAAATTTTTAGAAGAATGTGATGTCATTTTATAATACATAATGCTGAGTTCGCTTATAATGAATGATGTTGCTGAAAAGTGAAATAGAACGCTTAAGAATATTATGGAAAATATGATTAGTCATTATATTTTATCAGAATCTTTATGGGGAGAAGCATTAAAAACCACAACTTATATACTTAACAGAGTTACAACAAAAAGAATTACTAAGACTCCTTATGAGCTTTGGAAGGGTAAGAAGTCTAGTTTAAACATTTATATATTTAGGAATATATAGCTGAGGCAAAGCTTTATAGGTCGAATGAAAAGAAACTAGATTAAAAAACTGTTAGTTGCTATTTTATTAAATATTTTGAAAGATTCAGGGGTTACAAATTTTATGATTTCACGACTAAATCAATTTTCGATACAAGAAATGCTTGGTTTTTGGAGGATGTTGAGTTTGTAGGGAGAGAAAGAGTTTGGAACATTGTCTTTGAAGAGGACTCTATTGATATTTTCTTGATTATTATTGACAATGATTAGGATCAAATTATTATAACTAACATTGCTCAATAAGCAAGTCCAGATATACACAATGTCATGGCACCTCCCGTTTATGCGCAAGAAATTATTCCAGGAGAACAAACTCCACAACCTTAAGAACTAATGCCATGAAGAAGATCTACTAGAGAGAAGAGAATTGCAGTTCTAGATGATTACATCCTATTTTTTCAAAAATATGAGCTTGACATTGGAATGGTGGAAGATGATCAAATTAACTTCCGTCAAGTCGTGAAAAGTTTTAACTCTAAAAAATAGATTGATACCATGAATGAAGAAATCAAGTCCATAAAGGACAATGATTTATGAGATTTGTCCCATTGCTTGAAGGTGTGAGATCCATTAGTTGCAAATGGATATTTAAAATCAAGCGGGATTCAAAAAGCGATGTGAAGAGGTATAAGACACGTTTTGTTGGTAAAGGTTTCACATAGAAAGAAAGTTATAAAGAGATTTTTTTCTCCGATTTCATCGAAAGACTCTTTTAATAATGAGTTTAGTGGTTCATTTTGATCTTAAGTTGCATCAGATGGATGCTAAGATTACGTTTCTCAGTGGTGACATTGATGAGACGATTTTTATGGTGCAACTAGAAAACTTTACATCAGACGATCCAAAATAAATGATTTGCAAATTAAAAAAATCTATCTATGGACTCAAGCAGGTTTCTTGTCAATGGTATCATAAATTCCATCAAGTTATCATATCGTTTGGTTTTGAGATGAATGTGGTAGATGATTGTGTATACTATAAGTTCAGTGGAGTAAACACATTTTTCTGGTTT